CGCCGCACCCCACCCCGCCGCCGAGCCGGGCTCCCGCGAAGCTGGTTCCGGTGAAAGGGCCGCTGATTTGACGGAGAACGGGAAGGAGGCCCTGGAAGGGACCGGCCGATGGGAAGGACCCTTCCCCTGCATTACTGATCCTTGAAAAGGAGGGTGGGCTTGCGGAGGCGGAAGCGGGCCGCCTGTATTGGCGAAGGCAAAATGCGGGCTGGACTGTACCTGCCATACTTACTTGTAAATATGATCTTCGGACAAGACTTCAAGATCCTTCCCCCTCCCTCCCCAGAAGGCGCTTTAGTGTTTTCTGCCCCAAACCCGAGGTCCTGTTTTCCAAGCAGCGATTTTCCCCGATTCGGACATTACCTACTTCCCCCCTCTCTCTCCCCTCCCCCTCCTTCCCTCCGCATTATTTGTATGTTGTAAGCCTTAAGTGGTCCTCACATCAGAATTTCTCCCTTTTTTCAGGTGGGGGGAGCAAAAGTGCGGGAGCTTTTTGTATTATCCTTTAAACTACCTAAATCAAACTCGGTCCTGGTGATGTTCGAACGACTTGACTTTGGAAATTAACCTCCCGCCCTTGGATTTTTCTCCGGCGGTCGGCCAGCGTTGGATGCGTGGCACCAGGAGGTTTCCTGAGCCCGGGTGCCCCGCTTCTGCTAGGGAGCGTCCTTGCTGGAGAGACAAGCGAATGTATCATAAAGGCAACGCCCCGTAACTATGGGACTTGTAGAGAATGTCCTCTTTCTTCCCCTACCTCGCCGCTGATTAAATTATTTGACGGTCCTGCTGAACGTGGTCGTACAAACCTAAATCTTCCTTTAACGTGTGCCGCTGGATGTGCCGGCCAGGTGCTGCGGGGCAAAGGTACCTGGGCGAGCTTCTCCCCCTGCGGATCCTTCATGCCTTCCGTCTCCCTCGGTGCTCCGCGGCTGGCGGCTCCTCCCGGAACCGCAAGGATCCAGCCGGCCGGGCGATTTCTCATTTCCCGGATATGCACCTGGAGAAGCCGGCGCATCCTTCCTCCGTAGCAAAGATAAAAATGCTAGCCGCCTTCGCTGGGTTTTCCTCCGCGGGATTTAGGGGCGGGGCGCGGCGGCTGCCTCCGGGCGGTCAATGTGCTCCAAAGCGG